CCCGACTTGTAATATGCTTATTGTGTAAATTATCAAAATTCATGTACTGCTCTGAACTGCAAGTAGAAAATCCGTGCAGCAACCTGTGCAGTAGCAAACCTTCTCTCTTCACTAAAATCTTGCCTCAAGAAACATCATATATCTTTGTATAGAACGTCCTCCCCAAATCCAGGCTGGGCCTCCAGAGCATTACCGGGTACAGTTCATTCTGGCAGGCCCTCGCTTGCTCCAGCCCCACTGAAATCAGTACTGTTTCATTTGGCTGCAGCAGTATTTTAAGCCCCAGTATGGTCAGGTTTGTAGTTTGCATTACTTTACTGTAGTCCTTTCCCTTGTTCTCCCCACCATCACCTTCCTGCTATCCCTTTTTCCTCTGTAACAGTATCTCTGTCATCCACATCTGTGCTGTTCATTTAACTGGCAAATGCCAGATGACTGATCAGCTCCAGAAACAGTTGTGGACTCTTAGCACCTTAAAGGATCAGACCTCTGAACTGCAGATACTTTAGGACAAGGGCTATATCTTTTTTGTGTTGCCAGAATGCAAACACACCCACGTGATACTATAGAAATACCAGAAATCACAACATCATAGTCTGCCAAACTTGATTACGATAACCAGTCACCTAAAGACGAGTGAATTTGGCCTTAAGGCTATTCTGCTGGGACTGGAGACAAGTTGTCTGGAGTCTTCTCCTCCCTGTTCACAGAACTATCGCTCTAACCTCCCTTGTCAGTCCTATTCCTTCCCGTCTCCCAGACAACATCCCCACCCATGTGGTTGTACTGGAAGTGCTTCCCACCCGTCTCACCCATCTGCTAGTGACCCCACTTTTTACTGGATCTGTGCTGGCTTTTTTTGTACTGCAGCTAGTTTTCCCCTCATAAGATTCCTGTTCCAGGCCCATAGGAGAAAAAGAGCTAGAAAATTGTGTCAATTAACATGACGTTTTCCTTAACTAAGAATCATGTTAAAAATGCATTAGCTGGTCCCAACAGACCCTCAGGAATAGTACAGTAATTGAAAACCTTTCCTCTTTCCCAACACTGTTCTCTCCTGTGTTTATTACCATGCATGTAAGAATTTGGCAATCTAAGACAGTGTCTTTCAAAATAGGAAGCAGGAAGAAAAAGTTAGGAATTCCTTTGGAGAGAATCAAGGAGTGATACCAGAAGGTTATGTATTTAAGTACACAAGCACTGTCATCAAGTGGTTAAAGCAGGTAACAAGGCATCAAAATGCTCATGGTTTATGGAAGACTTATTCCTTTGGCCTGTTTTAACCACTTAACGCATAATGCTGTAGGACACTGGTAGACAGTCGTGGGCCCCCAATTCGTATTTAATACAGTTTCTGAACACTCTAAACTACTTAGACTTTTCCAGCATGACCAATATCAATAAGGCTGCCTGGTCAGACATATTTATCCTAGCAAGGTGGGCTTGTTGGCCAGCGTTATTAAATAGCCTTCCCAAAAGACATCATATATATTTTTTTGTCTACAGACCTTTAAAAAATCTGGTCAAACATTTGTAGCATAAATACAACCTTTGTACACTGAGATTTCAAAAGAATGTTAATTATTACTGTTTCATGTTTTTAAACCATATCACACATTAAAAGAAAGCCATCAGAGATGTTCATGAAATATTTTTAGTAGGATTAAAGTTATTGGTTTCCAGCAGACCTCAGTAAAGCCAACTACAGAACTGTAAATCGAAACTGAAGCGCTGTTGCAACCGGGGCTTCCAACCAGTGAGCATTTGTACTGTCTAATTATAAGGGCTTATTAATGCAATGTTGGCTGAAGTGCTTCATAACAAAAGTCTATTTCATCTTTCTTTTGCTTTTTAATAATAGAAAACCATAGCGATAGTTTTACGATAAGCATATGGAACTCTGACATAAATTCATCTCTACAGTGCACAAACTGAATTTGTAGTAAAATCAAAGAGAAATTCACACTTTTACAGTTCATAGGTACTACTTAGTTCTTAATCTTTGTAAAGACTAAAAAAAAATAGTTTGAGGCCTTTATAGCTAACAATTTCCAAGGCTTGAATTATTCAAAACGTGACAATAAAGAACTAGCTTTATCAAACATTCATGGAATCCATTCACCTGTGAGAAGGATGTATCAGAGGTATGTGAGATGGTTTATTCATTTCCAGCTCACAAAGGACGACCATTACAACAAGCAGAACTAATATGATCCTTTGTTTCTTCTTGTGCAGTTCTCATTACTCTTTAAAAATGATTTATTTTGCAAGTATGTGAATTTGGCCTTCTAGTGATGAAAATCCTGACCATTAACTTTAAACCTGTAATATTTGTCAAACTGTAACACAAAACATTTTAAAACCATACTTTTGTTTCATTTCTCTAGTCTTAGAATTCAAACAGAAATAATTTCTAACTCCCTGTTAAAAAGTTTAAAAATGTAGGAGAAACTAAATTGTTTGTTAATTTAATTGCAAGTTAAATTAGGAATCAGGTATTGTTTGCATTAGTTTCATTACAGCACCGTGTCATTTAACCCCGAGAAAAAAATCTTTTATTGAAAATTCCATCTCCTCAGGTAACTTTCACTGACTACAGCTCATCTCTTTCATACCACCTTCACATCCAGTTTAAAGTTGGCTGCAGTTCATTTCCAAGTAATTTCCGAAAAGAAGCCCAATCTCTTAATCCTTATTTATACAGAAAGTTGCTGTTTGCACAAGTCACATCACTGACTCCACTAAGATGACTCACGCAGTGAAGGTTTGGTCTGGATTAGACTAAGGCTCCCCCCCCCCTTTTTTTCTTTTTTTTAAGAATTTTAAAAGACACAGAAGAGCTAACATGCCTCTATCTAGTCGCTGGCATCTACCAAGAACACAAAACAAAAGAGGCAGACTACCTGGCAAATACCCTTTGTACTTCCAGATGAAAGTGAGATAGTCAATATCTCTAAGTTAGAGATAGCAAGCATTTCTAAACTGGAGGGGGGAATGACTTTTCTATGCCATTAGCTAAATATACAACATTAGTATTTGAAAAATGAAGAGAGTGATATACTTCTATAAACAATGTGTGAAATGAGCCAGATATGTCTCAGGGATTAAACAGAAAGGCGGAACTGGTCAAGTCTATTGTTTCAGCAGAGCTAACCAATCTCAGTTTACATACCTACTCATTATGGAAACCTCTGGATCCTATAGACACCACTTCAATGATTTGTTTTTAACTGGTGTGTTCGTCTTTGAAATCTTGAAGCAGATCACGCACCCCTCATTTTCATGTTACTACAGGATTAGTACTAACTTCACCTGTTGATCTCCTAATGACATCTATTTCAGACTTAGATTCTTAAAGAATACTCGTGGCTTTAATTACCAATTAAATTACCAATTTGAAATTTAAACCAAATGATGCAGGTGAAAAATAAATCTTTTTGTGTGACTAGGAGGGAGCTCACTTTTTTTTTCTTTTTTTTCTTTTTTTTTAAGATTATGCTTTCTCTCAGTTTGCTACAGCCTTTACTACTATAAAAATAGACTCAGCAGTCAGTGTATCGGGGTAAAGCTAGACTAAGCTCATCTTCTTCAAATGTGTACACAGCCCTATCATCATCATGGCAGCTATGCTGATGGTTAGCTACCAATATCTGCATGTATTCTAGCATAGCAAAGGCCTTAGGAAGAACATAAAGTTCCTGTCACACAAAGATACATGTTCCAATCTATAAACCAAAATTTGGCCTCTAATAAGCATGGCCAGAGCTGACTGAGCTGTATGTCTGCACTAAGCCCTGGTGATATTTTGGTATGTGACCTGCTATTAAGAGCTGCCAACTCATAATAGCATGCTACATCTTAATTCAGTCACTTTGTGGCTCTGATTAAGAGAAAAGGAAAGGAAAAAGCGGAAAACTCCATAGTTAAGGTTGGTGAAGTAAGGCATGCAGAAATAGTTTATTTCATGTAAACTTAGTGAAGTAAATTGGTTCTGCATTTTTTGGTACTCCACTTAAAATTGTGTTTGGGATTTGTAATTTCTAGTTAAGATTATACTTGCCAATAAATGCAATTCACTGATAAAAAACATCTCCAGTGTTGAAGCCATAGAAGCACTTAACCTGATCCAGGACATGAAGGTACAAATTCAAATATTTTCCAAAATATGATGGAAAAAAGCTTTCCAGATAGACCCTGGAAATTGCCTTCCCCAAATAAATTGTTAGGCACATACGAACAGCAGCTAAGAAACAGCAAGAGAGACAACAGAACTAATCACTGAAAGCAGTGGATTCTCTGTCTTTTGAGATCTTCAAAATAAGTTCAAATGCCCCCTGAAAAGTATGCTTTAAGTAAATGCAAGTTACTGAGCTCAATTCAGAGAAACCAGGTAAAATTTAATCGCCTGTGATGGCCAGGCTAGATGATGCTATGGGACTTCTGGCCTTAAATTATGAAAACTGGAATTACGTTCACCTTCCTGGCATACTCCAGTATGCGCTCTCTGTCAAGAAAAACAGCCTTTTAAAGGCAGGTCAAAGACATTGCTGTGGATTAGAGAGGGAACCACCACAAGTCCATCCCCCAAAAGGCCTGAACAGGGAGTTGTCTTCATTAACTATTTCACTTTCAAGTCCCAGGCCACTGAGACACCCAGGACCAGTGGAGCTAGCTGTGTCAACAGGGCCCGGAGCGAGCGCCAGCAAGCGGGGGCTGCTGTCGCACACGATACAGCCTGGCCCCTTCAGGTGTGCCACAAGCAACATCAGCTGGTTCTGTGACCAGGCCAAGAAGCTCTCTTTCTGTCAACAAAAAGGTCAATCAAACGTTGTTTGTGAAAGAGAAAAACAAGGCAGCTACCCCTCCTCTGCCCTACGTGACACAGCGTGAGCAGGCGTTACTGAGGTGTGAAAGGAAGGACGACATCATCGCTGACCTCACCCAGCTGCTTGCTCCGTAAAAACCTAGCAAACCTCCTCTCCTTCACCGTTTTTACAGAGATGAATCGCTTGCCCTCGGTCTCCCGCTATCTTTTGGCCACTGAAGAGAGTCTGCTAAAGCGAAGGTTTGCAGTGGAGGAGGCAGGGTTGTCTCGGGGGCCCAGCGGCAGGCCACGCTCCCCACCGGTCAGCTCCACACCACCTTCCGCTTCAAACACCTTGCTGCCGCAGCAATGCCCTGCTGCTGAGAGCCAGCTTCTTTCCCCTAGACTTTACTGCCCTCCCCAGTCAATTCAGTGCAATAGCACCTAGTGTAACAAGCCCTGGGGCGCTTGGCCAGACGCGAAGAGAAAACAAGCCAAGAGATGACTCAGTACGGAACTCGGATTCTCTCAAAAGCTTGTGAGTGCATCCACCCTTCTGCAAAATTAGTTGCTTCTGTTTAGAGTCTAATACACTTGGCTTTGGTGGCATTTAAAAGTTCTCTTTTCTTTTAGTAGAGCTCCCTGCCAGGGGATGTCCCAGGCAAGCTCTGGGCATCTCAGAATCACATCGCAACCTTTGAGCCTGGGTTTACAGGCAGGCAGAAATAATTTGTGTAGAATACTCTTAAGAGCAAGAAATTAAATAACAGGCTATGAAAAATAAGTTGAATTTTAGAAAATACTGCCCGATATCAAGACCTACTACGTGGAGTCATGAAAACTTCAAAGAAAGAGACAAAAATAGAGCAAATTGTCATGTAGCTTACTGAAAATCTGGTGAGTCTGCCTGTCAGCAACTACATTTCCCCCATCTGTAATGCTGTGACACGATCAAATATGACTATAAGGTCATATTTCATGGTCTAACAGAATGCTATTTCCGGTGATCACAAATGTAGTGAACACACCCCTACCCCTAAAGAACTCACAATCCCCGTAGAGAGGGCAGCAACCGTGTATATCATAAAACTCCTTCAAAGAAGGAATTGGAAGGAAGGAAGGAATCTCAGAGGACTTGTCCAATACTATACTTGAATATCAGCCAAGTTCTCCCGTTTCAGAAAATAACAAGAACAAACAAGAACAAACCAGACCTTTTCTGCCATGTGCTCTGAAGAGCTGTCACCTCCATGATCCTGCTATTTGGTACTATCCAGCTAACAGGGCTTTATGTTCAGATGTGAGCAATCATCAACAGTGTTCACAGTTTTAAGGTGAGTGGTCCCTCAGGCAGCTCATTCTACATTTTGGGGGCAGGAGTAGTATAAATTATCTTCACCTAGGCACAAAACAAAATATCCAGGGCCTGAGATCAAATTCAAAAATCTTCTGAATAATATTTTTTCCCTGCATTAGCAAATCGATTGAGACTCTCTTTTTTATAGACGGCTTGAGATACACTGTCTTCCAACAACAGTCTTACTTCTGTAAGATTTCCCTATCAATCTCTCCTGTCGTCTCCACGGGACACTATAATGAAAGACCTAGTGCTTTGGGCAGGAATAGCTGGGAATGAAATACAGAGAAGAGGAAAAGGGAACAGTCTCAGAACAAAAAAAGCTAAGAAGCACATGCAAAAAACCAATTCCCTCTGTAGCGTGCACCCCTTCATGCAGCACACTGCTTACGGTGGGAGTATCTCAGGACTTGTTGAATTGGTTGTTGCAAAAAACAGCTTTGCAGACACATCATTAACACATTTACAAGAGTAGCTGTATTCAGCCTTCGGGAGTCACACAGAAAAACACAGTCACCATTTCTCACTCTATTTATCCTGTACAAACAGCTATAGCTCTGTCAAAGTCGCTGTCAAAGAGATAGCAGAACTCCACGGAAAGCATAAGACACCCCCCAAACATTTCTGTCCATGGGTAACTTTCCCAGGGACCTAGAGACTTCTTTGGGCAACCTCACCACAGAGTTCAAAGTTCCAACAGCACAAAGAGAGGAAGATGCTGCATTTAATACTCAGTTCAAATTGGCAGTTTTCACAAAGGAAGGTATAAAGGTGAAGGTTTGTGCAGAAGTCTAAATAATACAAATAGGAGTGTTGTTACAGGGGTGTGTGTATTTTTCCTTTTTTCCTAAACCAGAAGTCGTTCCTATAATTTATTTAGTATGAGCCATAGATCTCAATATGCATTGTAACCAGTTAAATCTCATAAACACACAAACTGATTTAGATAGATAGAACAATTCTATCTGTTTATTTCAGCCTGGTAACAATAACTATATCTACTCTTTGTAGCTTATCCACGTATTTAGTTCACAAACTTATTTAGTGGGGTAAGTTTATTGCTGTAAGCCACTGATTTCACTTTTCTTGTACACTGCTTTTTTTGTTGTTGTTAGGGCATTGTTCTTTATACCAAACTGGCTTACGTAGCTGTACCCAATTTAAAACATTTAAGACATTCCTCTCTTTCATGGTGCTTTCCCAACCATTTTCTGAGGCCCTGTTCTAAGAGCGCCTATGAAAAATCATTCTCTTATCACTGCTGCCGTGAAAGTCCATGCTGTCTGTACCTCGGCCGCAGTTGGAGAGATCTCCAGTGTGTTTCGCTCCCCGTTTCAGTTCTTACGGCCCAGTACAACACAAGTTTCTACCTGATGTCACAGCATGGGGATTCCAGCTGTTTTTTGCCAAAGTCTATTGCAGAGGAAGGGGCCAGGTTGATGGGAAAAACATCTCCTTCCTGTGCCTTCCCCCCACGCTGCTTTCTCAGTTCACTATCTGAAATCATCTACAAACTGTCTCTTTGGGCACAGACCAGGTGGGCTGTGTAAACGATACAGCGCACGTCTGCGCCAGAGGCATTCCTCTGCTCTTCCCTAGAGCCCCGCGGCACTCGCGCTCCTTGGCGTCCGCCTCTCAGCCGCGCCCGCCTTCTCCAATCTGTCAGCTCGTGATTTCTGCCACAAGAGAGCGCTAGTTGTTCCGCTGCGGTATCGTTCACCTCAAGAGGTGAGGTGAACACATCAGACCAGCAGCGGCCTAAAAATGGCATATGTAACCAAGGCGAACGTAAATGGATGAGGAACGAGGAATGCCTGAAAGAGGTGGGCGCGCTGGAGCATACAGGGCGCTTCAAACTAGATTCGCCGTAATTTTCAGGTTTTCTCTCTTCCTCCAACAGAACGGTGTGGTTTATTATAAAGAGTTGAGCTTTTAAAAAAAAAAAAAGAAAACCCTCGAGGTTTTGTGTGCTCCTCCCCAAGTTTCATACTCGCTACCCATTCCAGTTCTTAATCCGCTCTTTTGGGAACCCCCCTCAGGAACGGCCAACTTCCTGACCACAGAACCGCCCGATACCCGCCAGCCGCAGGGCAGACCGG